CACCCACCGCCAACTCTTGGGCTACTCTTTTACCAACGAATGGTGGGATTGACCGTCACACTATAACGCCCCCACGGCTGAAAGGGCGAGCATGTTTGGTGTGAGAGGGATTCGAACTCGCGACCCTCAGATTGCGAGTCGAGTGCCTTATCCACCTGGCCATGCAGGGCCATAACTGTATGAAGTCCAGGACTAGGTCGTAGATCTATTGAGCCTAAGACCAATCAACTACAAGATCAAAAGGGTGTAGGAACCTCGAGTGTTTTTTAGTTTGTTTGTTTGTTTGTAATCAAGCACAAAGCTACGCAATAGGCTATCTGTGCTCTGCCCACCACGGGTATCAAAACCCGGATTCTAGCGTCGTAAGTCCTCCAGGGACACGACTTAGATAGGATTTTGCACAAAGTCAGATACGAGCAAAACGTTGTAAATAAAATACCGATGTATTAAGAAGCTTGAGTTGCACCAAATATGCACGGTTCAATGCATCAAGTACATACCAATCATGTGTGTTCATACTTTAACTAGTTTAAGGAAAGTTTTACAGTCACGTTAATTCATAAAATGATCACTCGTAATTTTAGTTTAATGGAAATGTAACCTTAGAAGACGAAGATTTACGAAAATTTTCAGAGTAGCAATAGAGATGTCTCCTATTAATCACTACTTGTGTGTTCAGGTTTACGCATCAAGGAAAACGGCAGTGTGACGTGCGGCCAAAGCAACCTGCAGGACACACCTTGCGTTATTAAACAAGTGATAGTTTAGCAATATTCCACTTTCTCTAGCTCGGACTGTGATAATCCAAACTATCACATATTTTCAGTGGATGTGCTATACTGGACCATTATTTTATATACCAAATTTCCAGGGAAACTATTAAGACATACATGAAATATAAATTCTTATATTTTGATTAATCTTCCTATTTTTTTTCTTCGCACCAAAAGTACGGAAACTTTATTGGATAAAAAAATTAACTTTCATAGATATTTTTCCAAGTTTTATCCACTGATAAATCATTACAACCTACAATTATGAGTTTCATATGGTGTAAATATAAGCCACATGTACAAAATCATGAAAAAGAAGACGCTCAAATTTGACGAATTTTTTTGCGCACGCCTACGCAAAATGTCACACGAGCTATCGATCTGAAAGTTTTATTACAGCTTCACCTAAGAGTAAAAGTGGACAGGTTTTAATTTTTGGCCATTCGGATTCAAAACGGCTGATTTAGAATAGTAAAAGTATTTTGTTTTACCTACCATCATGCCCAAAGTTGAAGAAAAAACGCGATCTGGCTAACTAATGAATGAATATTTACTGTATTTTGATTTCATTCCTTTAAGTCGCACGCTGACTCCTTTTTCTTTCTTTTTTTTTGTCACACCTTTTTTCACACCTAAGGTGTTTTTGATTAGATTTATATATAACGATAATGCAGTAAATAAAATATCCCAAACTGTCATATAAGAAAGGGTTTTGTATATAATGTGCAGCCCACTTCTTCAGTCAAGTACAAAATAAGCCTGTTCAATTAATGGTCTTCCATGGGCGATTCGAGTGAATGTAAATGTTTCGTGTTAGGACAGAACGTAGGGTCGTTTGACATAAACCAATTTTATGTCACACCATTTCCTTTTAAAAGCGAGTAACAACAAGGGATGGGTCCTATATTTCCCTTCACCATGAACGAGTTGGCAATTAAAATAATCTTTGACCTTTTAGAGTTTACTAAAGCTACCAATCAACCTGTATATTCATTTCTCCAAAGTACGCCGTTCAAGGGGAAGATATGTTTATATGCTAGCATATTACTTTATGGGCTAAGGTTATAAATAGTGTATGAATGAGGTTTACGATAAGCCCTAAATCTGCATCGATTAACAGCCTTGTACAGCCACCAAGTAAAAATATCTAGTGTAACGAAATTTGTTGTAATGTATTTATTTTAATATCAACGTTGTTTAGATTAAGTTTATATTTAAAAACATGCATAGCTTATAGTGTTAGATATGTATTGCGAAACTCCCGCCTATTCTCCAAAGTTGTAGAAGATTCTCGAGAGTAGGAATCAACAATATATGTGTGTATGTAAACTTTTAAATATAGCTCAATATTGTTATGTAATCTGAATTTTCTAGAAAACCTTCCCACGGCTATAAATATAACCAACACGACGCGCCGAAAAGAGTGTCTATCAGTAGTTCGCTATAAACTTCGAAAGCTATAACGGTGATTTTTATAACGCTCATCAATCGGAAAACTTGAGATATTTGCCCAGGAATATTTATAAATTTCGAACGTTACAAATCGTTTAACTTCAGTGAATTCTCATCACACATGTAAATTGATCGTGGAGAGCTCAACATGTGTGGCAAAGGACAAAGCTAGCTAGCTGCACGGCGAATCGTATCTACATCAACTTGAAATTAACTCGCTCATCGTGAGTCCTCGATAAGATATCAAGGAAGTTCCAGACTAGAAAGAAAACTTTATAGTGTTTGTTAGTTTGCGAAACTTCTGTTCATAAATCTTTGTTTGTAATAACTATTTGTAATAATTGTTATTGTGAATTATATGGTTGTGTGTATATTAAAACGCATTTGTGTTAAAAACGAAAACGGTGTGTACCAATCTTGTTGGCAAATATCACAAATTGACTAATATATCAGCATATATTTAAATACTAAATCCAAAGTACAATTCAACTACTAAATTTAAATTACCAGTTAACTCGGCTTCGGAATATTCGAAATTCTATTACGTAACACTAGGCTAAGCACAGACTGACTAAAGTCGTTAAACACTGGTATTAAAACAAAATATGAAAGACAGTAATCATATCAAACATAAAAAAGATTCATTAACACAACATCTTTATTCTTAAATTACGTAAAAAACATTTCTTCAAAATATCTGTGTGAGCAAACATCTGATTCCTAAACAAAACTACACATATTCCACTATTTCGTCCGTTTTTGTATACTTTTGAAGCACTTCAAGTGGATTGCTGTGAAGTTCTAAGAGACAATTTTCTTTTCCACCACATTTCCAGATGTATGTTTACTGTAGTTATGTTTAGAAACATCGCATATCCCTCCGGGTTTTTACAAGGAATCATTATTGACAAGCACACCCTTGACTTTCCTTAAGTGGTAATACACCTGAAAAGCGTTGTGTATGAATTCAAATATACGAGACTAATAATCCACTCGTACATACTTATGTGACAGCCATATTTTACAGTCCTGTGTGATATTTTCATAACTTTTATAATATTTTGGTAATTTATTTGTGTAATGTTTATAGCAATGCAATAGCTTGTGTTTTTATGTCCTTACTGTTGTACCTGAGTGGTTATCCATTTTTAATACAAAAATAACTTACCGAGGCTTTACAATGTTACCAATTTAGTGGACAATAAGTGACTGAAAGTATATGATGTAGTCTGATGAGTCACATTTTTATGATAACACTACGACTTGATCTTGCAAGATGATACAAGTGATGTAATGGCGAGGGAGAGGTTCTTGTATCAGGAATTGGTTATTTTAATTCCTTTAGAAAATCAAATAACAGTGAGAAAACATCAACGGCAGATTTAACTGGAGTGTCGACTTGTAGTGTAGTGGATAAACTCAACGTTATGACTTCAGATCACACATAAAAGTATACAAAAGCCCAAGAATATGTAGATACTGCATATAGTTCGATGTTTTT